CCGAGGGCGGGCGGGCGGCGGGGCCGGAAGAGGGTCCGCGCGGAGGCGGCGCCGTCTGCGCTGCTCTGGCTTCCGCTCCCTTGAGGCCGCGCTAACGGAGCGGCGGGCGGGGACGGCTGGAGTCTGCCCGCGTGTGCTTGCGGAGCGGCGGGGAAGCCGCCGGCGCTGTGCGGCAGAAGGGCCGTCGTCCTGGGCCCGCGTCGGAGCGCTGGCCGAAAGCGGGAGAGGGACGCCTCCCTGAAGGCACTCAGGCGTCGTCGTGAGAAACCCCGTGCAAAGCAGGGGCTGGGGTGGGGTCGCGGGACCTCCTCCCAGGGGGCGCGTGTCGGCGCGGGCTCGCGGGAGGGCGCGGACGCCAGCGCTCCCCAAACGGAGAAGCGGGTGGAAGGGGCAGGGCCGGCTAGCGGTTCCGCTGCCAGCAGGGTCTGGGGACGGAGAGTTCAAGCTTCTGCGCCTGCTAGCAGGTCTTCTGAATGCGGGGTCGGGACGGTGGGTTGCAGGGCGGGCCCGAGGCCCGCTGGTTCGGGGTCCCCGCGCTCCGCGGGTGCGGGTGCCGGCGCGGCGTCCCCGCACGGTGGAGGGGGGTGGCCCGGGCGTCGGCGCGGGGCCGGTCTTCCTCACACACACACACACGTTGGGTTTTGTTTTGAAGGCATTGGGAAGCCTTAATTTTTGAGGAAGAAAATGAAAAAGAAGTGCGTTTCAGGAACATTAATGTGGCAGCAGTGTTGAGGTCAAGGAGGATAACTCGATTATTGCTGTAGTACACAAAAGCTAGTAAAGACCTGAGTTTGAGTGTAGCGGTGAAGTGAGAAGCAGAGGCACCCGTGGCATATGTTGTGGAGTCCGCACCCCGGGAAAGGCCTGCTGCGGGTTTGTGTGTGAGGAGTGGGGCGACTCCGTGAGGGACAGATGTAGGCCTCAGACCTGCTTAACAGACTTGTCATTCATTAAAGCAAGTGCCCGACAAGGAGATAGGGGGAGACTCTCATAATCTCAATGTTAATCGTACCTGAACTTGAGATGGCCTTAGGACAACCAAGTAGGCTATCTACTAAGCAGGTGGAAATGCGGGATTCGGCTTGAGAGACTGGAGTGCGGACAGACGTGAAGTCCTTCCCTAGAGGTGGTGGTTGAAAATGTGCATCCGTTAGATTGCCAAGGAAGAAGCTGGTAGCAGAACTAAAGGAGACAGACACGGACAGATACGTAGGCAGTGCCAAGAATCGGAGAGACGATGAGCCAGAGGAAGAGGAGGAAAGCCGAGTCAGCGTAATGGAACCCCAGGAGGAGGAGGCTTTTTGGAAGAGGACGTGAATAACGTGTATTCGGCTGGCCAGCATTTACTGAGTCCCTGCTGCCTCCCGGGCACTCTGCTGGACACACACACACCGTGGTCGGTGAGACCAGCCCCATGCTGGCCCTCACAGAATTGTGTTCTGGTGAGAAAGACAGGCAAACAGTGTGCTAACTATTATGAATAAGGACCAGATATTTGGGGACCATGTAACAGTTAAACTTCATATTTTGTCAGGGGAATGTGCAGAAGATGAGACTTGAAGGATGAACACGATGGGTTATGGGACACCCTCTACTGAAGTGCTGGTGTGAGAAAGAGTGTGATATGTCGAAGGACTTGAAGTGAGTCGTGTGGCCTCAGCAGAGAAGTGGGGATGGCCTGAGGTACTGGGTGACGTTTAGTGCGTGTGTACTCTGTGCCGGGTACTGTCGTCACTGCTGTACGTGTGTTACCAGACGATGTAGGCGTCAGAGACCGTGTTCAGAGTCTTATTCTTGACCTTTGGACAGTGAGGAGTGAAGAGTGTTCTAAGCGGGAGAGTGATATGAGGAGATTTGGAGGGGACAGGGTGGTTGCGGGGAGCCTGGTGAAGCTATTACAGTGGCCAGATGATAGGTGGATGATGGTAGCTCTGTCTAGGCTGGGGATAGTAGTAAGGATTGAAAGGGTAGGTGAATTTGAGATATATTTAAGAAATCTGGTGATTGAATGGGGTGGTGAGGAAGTGGGAGGAGTTAAAGCTGGCTGGAGGGAGGGGCTAAGTATCACTTGAGAAAGGGTGTCCTAGAGGAGGAACTCGTTGGGAGACGAGAGGAGCTTGTGAGGCTCTGTTAGGGCCGTGTTCAGAGGAGGCACCCACCTCAGTGAGGTATCCAAGTCAGGCTGGCAGTCAGGTCTTGGAAGAGAGGCATGGGCTGGAGAGAGAAATTTATAATCACTGGCAAAAGGGTGTAGATCATATTGTCTAGAGCGGTAATTCTCAACCTTTAGAGTGGACCAGAATCACCGGGAAGATTTGATGTGGATTTCTGGTCCCCACTCCCAGAGTGTTTCCTTCAGTAGGTCTGGCGGTGGAGACCAAGAGTTTGCATTTCTAACAGGTTCCCAGGTAGTGTGTCTGATGCTGATCCAGAGGACGCATTTTGAGAAGGTGTAGAGTGAGGCAGGAGGAGACTCAGAGCCTGACCCTGAGGAACTCATTTTTGTTTAAGTGGAATAGGAGGAACCTACAAAGAAGGCTAAAAAAGAAGTAGGAGGAGAAAATAGTATTTATTACATTTACCACTGGGCTGTGAATACTCTGGTGAGAGCATTTTCATGGAATGATGGGACAAAGGAAATGCGGCATAAGTAGAAGGAATGAAGAAAGAGTATAAAATGTAGATGACTTTCTGAGGAAGTTTTGCTATAAAACGAAAAAGACAGGATGGAGGAATCTTGAATATATTTAAATGTCAACGAAATGATGCTCGATGAAAAGATAGCAGTAGAAAGAAAGAGGCTGGGGGCTGGGGATGGAGAAGATGTAGTTGATAATCCACAGCTCAAGGTTCCAGAGGGGGAAGGAAGAGATAGGATCCAGGTACTGGTGGCATTACGTGGAGAGTCACCTCCTCCTTATTTATCACGTGGGAAAGACGAAAGGATGGGTGCAGGTAAGTTTGTAGATGTGGTGGTGGGAAGTTGACTTGGTTCCTCTCTGACAGCTTCTGTTTTCTCTGTGGAGTAGGTGAGGCCATCTACTGAGATAGAGAAGCAGTTTGAAGGAAAATGGAGAAAGTATGCCTGGTCTTTGCAGAGTGGGGAAGTGAGTAGACCAGAGAAGCAGGCTAGGATTGCCAAGTTGTGTTGAGTGCCCAGATGAGATTGGTGACTCTGCACACGCACAGTGTGTGTGCTCCACTCAGCTGCACTTAGAGTTTGGGTGCAGGCAGGGAGACGGTGGAGAGCACAATGGATGGCTGCACTGTAGAGGAAACGGTGGGGCTGTGGACAAGGGTGCTTAGAGTACAGAAGAGTCTTTGTAAGGCTGGACCATGGAATGGAAGCTGGATAGGAAGTAAAAAGACACACTGCAAATAAACCAAGAAGGAGAAAAAGAGATGGGAAAAATCATTGTTTAGTCATGGGGATTTCTGTGTTACTTATATGCATTTGCCATAGACAGTTCCTAGCATGGGCTAAGAATTCACTCCCACCCACACCACTACTACTACTTTCCTAGGTCGTTGACATTTTTTAAAATGGTAGTTATTAATTTTGTGACATTCTCCTTTTTTTAAAGCAACACCTAGATTTTAAATTAAACGTACATTTAAAGCATTAAATTTCTTTTATATATCTATAGATGTATATCTATTTCTATATCTCTATCTACCTATCATCCACACACCACACACCTAGGACTTTGTTCTCTGGAGTTTTAATCTACAGTAAGAGTGATATGGCTCTTTTACAGTCTGTTTTGGTCCTGGGTTTGGGAATATACAGGAAAGGAATTGTATAGAAGTAACATGATTTGTTGTAACTCCAGGAAAATATTTTTGAAAATAATGAAGGAGATAAATTGACAAAGTTACACCACAGTTGCTGGCCTTTTTAGAAGTTCAGTAGGAGGAAAATAAATTTCTTTCACTGTATATGCATTTCCCAGTCAGAAAGGAGAAGTACTAGAAACCAGAGAAGGCGATTCACAGGGGGAGGAAAAGAAGACAAAAAACTGAAATATGGATGATGAAACACATAACCGTGAGGGTTTTATTTTAGGCCCAACTGCTGTGCTCTGTTTGATGAGGGAAAAAAGTTGGGGCAAAAAGTTGCCAATAAGGAGAAAGCAGAGGGAACAAGAAACTGGAGGCCTCTATAAATTCGAAGTACAGGTGGAATGGGAGTAAAGAAAAGGAAAAAAAAACAAACCCAAGAAGAAAGAGTGTCTTGGTCCCCTGAAGAGGTTGCTGAGTCAAATCGTTGGAAGAGACAGAGTGATGGAAGAGTGTAGTCAAAGAGGAGAAGAGTTGTGGTAGCTGTCAAGTTTTATTGGCTGAAGATCGAAGCTCCTTGGGGTTGAAGATCTAAATAAATTGAGTGCAGAAAGTTGGAGAAGATCATCAATATAGATGCTAAAATTGTCAAAGATGATGGCAGGGGGAGAGGAGGATGAGCCTGGTGTGGATGTTCTATGCGTTAGCAATAAGGAAGATGCAGGTGTGGATTTCAGGAGAAGATGTTGATAAATGGTCATGGAATTTTTTTCCCAAAGCAGCAATTTAGTCAAAGGTCTCTGTAGACCTCTCTGCTTCTTCAGTAGGAACAAGTCAAAGGAACACTCCTCGGGAGAAGGTTGTAAGAGGGGTGATGTCTCGGGGGGAGCGGGGCAGGGGTAGTAAAGGTAGAGATAAGAGGAGTGCTTGAGAAACAAGTGGAGAATGCAGAGGAATATGCTGGTGATGAGTAGGGCCTAGAGGATGAGGGGCGATGAAGTTAACGTGGAGAGGGAGAACAGCTGAGCCCAAAGAGGGTGCTGGGGGACTTGCAAGGGGAAGGCAGTTTGTAGCCTAGAGCAGCCATGAGGACTATATAATAGGGAGAGGGACACCGAAGTTGCTAGACAGGCTGAAGCAGTGGCCTCCAACCTTTCTCATCCTTTATTCCCGAGTAAAGTAAGTGAGCACACTTCCATATGTGCGTATTTAGTTATCAGTTACATGCATACACTGCTATCAGTGTGTATGTTAATAGTTCATTTTTTAATAGAATATTAACAATCAAAAGAAATTCTGATATTTTCTGCCTGTTTTCCACTGTGGAGACCACTGGGCCAGAGGGACATGTTGCTAATTTAGGGCAGGGGTACAAAGCCTGTTCAGATTTATGGTTGCAGGATTTTATAAAAAGAACTGACTCCAAGGTTCTCATGGGAATGTTGGCGTCTGTGACGTGACTTCTGCAGTTTGTGATCTGGGTGCTGACTCTTGTCGCTGGTCTCTACTGTAAGCCTTTAATCTGTGATTGTGGAAATGCTAACTGTCAATACTTTGCTTCTGTTCTTCAGCAGAGAAATTTCCAGTAATGGTTTTTCTAGTGTGTTATAAGGATTCTTCTGAGTCTCAACCCTTTGATCAGTCCCTCATAAACATTGTTCTGGATGAGTCGACTCCTGTGCTCTTTAGCTATGAACAGTTAGGTCACTGGAAGGACTAGGCTGTGTTCCCCTGTGCACTCAGGAGAGGCGGGTTCACCCTGGTCCTCGTGGGCATTTTAATGAGGAGCTTTCTCCTCAGAATGTGTGTGGTGACCAGCCCCAGGAGCAAGTTTAAAAAGAACCTTTCCAGGGGCTGGCCCGGTGGCGAAGTGGTTAAAGCCCAGCACCTTCTGTTTCAGCGGCCCAGGTTCTCGGGTTCGATTCCTGGGCGGCCATGCTGTGGCAGCGCCCCACGTACAAAATAGAGGAAGACGGGCACAGATGTTAGCTCAGGGCGAGTCTTCCTCACACACACAAAAAACAATAATAATAACCTTCCCACACCTGTCCTTATATACAGATGATATATGTAATAATACAATCTTAAGAAGTGACAGCGCTTGCTTCTCAATTTTTGTTGAATTCTTGCTAATAAGAGTTATTAAAAGAATAAGAAAAACTAATACGACTGTTTGAGATGGGTTATTTTCCTTCTAGTATTGGCCTTTAGACTCCTCCTCATTGTGATTCAGATATTTCAGTAGAGCACAGAATTTGACAATAATTCTGAGGCCACTGTAGATATCTAATACCTTCTTGAAAACTTAAAAAAAAAAAGCCTAAGGGTGTGTGTTTTCGTGTCAGAGTTGGAGAGGGATTAGGGTAGGGGGAAGTGGATGGGGAAGGAACAAACAATCCATTTTCAGGCTGATCTTTCATATGCCAAGATTCAACCTACAGCAAGTTTTAATGGCTTTATAAACTCCTGAAAATGAGAGATTACTGTGCAATTGCTGACAGATCCTTAACTCCAGCAGTGCAACTGTGTTGCCTTATTATAATATTAACCTCGAGCATAGAAGACAATTTCAAGCCCGAGAATACTGATCAAAGGATTGAATACAAAGTCTACATTTTTATTTTAATAATTCCCTGCCTGGAGAAGTATTTGAAAAAGTGACAACCAGCAATAGAACCACGTGATAGCATTGGTATTAGTGGAAAACAAAACTTTTTAATGTTTTGGAATTTCATAAGCCTTTGATGTATAGCTTCACTCTTTTAAAAGCTCCTCAGGACACAGAGCCTTATTATAGGCCACGTGGGAGACAGATGGATAGACATTTTAAAGGAGGTATGGCACCATCCCTCAAGAGACCTTGCTTTTTAAAATAGATTTTAAAGACTGTGGCAGGCCTGAGATGCCACAGTCTATATGTGATCCAATAAGATGATCATTAGTGTGTTTCTGAGCATTCAGGTTTGGGATTGAGGACCAAGGAGACAAAGGCAGTTGACCTGAATTCTGTAGCAGTGACCTTCATATGCAGTCGTTACTTAATGCATTCTCCAACCATTGTGCTCTGTGACACCCGCCCTATGTGAATCTTTCTTTGTTTCTTTCTTATGGAAAGAAGGTTTGAGAGAAGAAATTCTGATATATAGTAAACTTGACCTAAACGCATCAAGGTCGTGTGTGCTGAATAGTTTAAAACAGGAAGGGATACTGTGGCAGGGAGGAGCTTATCGGGATTAAAAGCTTGGATTTGGGTACACAGAAAACTGATAATGCTCGTGCTTCAGGGGGAAAGAACTAGATAATGCCGGTCAGGGGTAAGAAGGAAATTTACCTTTATCTGTAATAACCTTTTGGGTATTTTGAATTTTGTGTCATGCACACAGTATAACTTATGATAAACAAAAGAAAAAATAAATTTTGACATAGATAATTGCTCATTGTCTTTAAATTACTTTCTCTTTTTTCCTCAGCTGTTTGCAATGGCTGCTACTGTGAACTTGGAACTTGATCCCATTTTTTTGAAAGCACTAGGCTTCTTACATTCAAAGAGTAAGGATTCTGCTGAAAAGCTAAAGGCATTGCTTGACGAATCTTTAGCTCGAGGCGTTGATTCAAGTTACCGTCCATCTCAAAAGGTACCTACGGGGAATGAAAAGCTTGGAGGGGGTTTTGTAAGGCCTGTAGTAGTACAGTGGTAACATTTAGACTGTCTCAAAACTCTCTCTCTGCCAAAAGCTTCTTTCCTGTAGATGAAGAAGAAATTATCTTATTTAGTTTTCTTCTTCCTTCACGCTTTCAGAGACCTGTTGCACTACATAGAGAAGTTGGCTGGGTGTGAGGGATATTCTGTTCTGATACTTTATGTGTAGAGAAACCCACTGTTCATGATATATTTTAATTTCTAATACTTTATGATCAAAACTTTTTTGAAAGCTGCTGAATTAGGGCCAGCCCTATTGGCCTAGTGGTTAAGTACTCTGCTTTGGCGGCCCGGGTTCAGTTCCCGGATGCAGACGTACACCACTTGTCTGTCAGTGGCCGTGCTGTGGCGGTGGCTCACATACAAAATAGAGGAAGATTGGCAACAGATGTTAGTTCAGGGCAAATCTTCCTCAGAAAAAAAAAAAAAAAAAAAAAGCTACTGAATGAAACGGTAACTTGTAATTATTCTCTAATGTTTTAAGGGCCAAAAAATCATCAAGTAAAAGCACGGGGATTTTGCAGGGAAGTGAATTGAATATGAGTAGGATAATTTCAGGGAAAAGTAGATGTGGATGAACTGTGAGAACCGTGTGCCCCAATCTTGATAATGACAGAGCCATCGAGCAGCTTTATGTGAAAAGAATATACATTTTGGAATCAGACAAACCTATTTTAAATCTCACTGACTTCTTCCTTGTTGTGTGGTAATAGATGACATATCTTGAACCTTTACTGTGTCCCAGGTACTTTTCTGAGTAGTGTGTGTATATAATTAATTTTAATTATGATAATTAAATCATCTCAGTCCTCTGAGATTAGTTGAGATAGGTGTTGTTTATTTTCCTTATTTTACAATTAGGAAGCTGAGGTGTGTAGTATCTTCATTTCACCTAGCCTCTGTTTCTTTATTAGTAAAATGGGGGTAATAAGAACTACCTTGCAAAGTTGTGAAAATTAAAAGAAGTAAAGCATGTAAGTCACCTAGTGTGGTATCTGCCTGGTACACAATAGGCTTTTGGTGAATGGCAGCTCTTATTATGTTCTCAATACCCACTACGACATTCTTCCAAACCTTTCCAGAGCTCTAGCCCTGAAACTCCGAGGCACTCAGGTCTGTTGCCCCCTCCAACTAGAGGAGGGGAGACACAGCTGTGTGACTAGCGCAGTCTCATCCAGAGTCTCGAGCCCCAGACAGGCCAGGTCCCAGGCTCAGCACCCAAGTAAACGGGTATTTTGCCCCCAGCCTTCTTTCCACATTAGCTATGGCATTCTTGATCCTTCTAATTGTCTTTGAATAGTAGAGCCCTTGTGACCTCATTTCTTCTGTCATTCTCCTTCTGGTAGGTTCAACAAGTTCAAATCGACCAAATTAATACACCTCCACAAAACACACTGCCAAGTTCATTCTGCTCTGAGTATTGGTATTTTCCAAATAGGAAAAACCTGTTGTTACTGAAGAAGCAGTATTTTGAGATTCTGAAACAGAAGGAATTTCATCTATTAAAATACATGAAAAATGTATTGTGTTTAAAAAGCCTGCTGCCCTTAGGTTTCTAAGTGGAAGTTACTTCTCTTGGTCAGTTTAGAGAAAATATTCTGTCGGGTATTTAAAAAGCACAGGTTCATTTAATTTTAGCCTTCAGCTGAACATTTCCCATTTCTAAAATTGTGTGAGAGTGATTTATGCCAGTGTCTTTCATAGGTTAGCAAGTATAGGATCACCTGGGGGCTTTGGTGCACTTACAGACACTAACAACCAGTTCTCCAAGTGTAGTTCCAACATAAAATTAGTTGATATTTTCATTTACCTCAGTGAGTAAGTTGAATGTGAAATAATGAAGTTAGAACTTATGAACTCATCCATCAATGACTTGAGCAACTTCTTTGCTGAATTAAATAATAGTTTTCAAATACGGCAAGACTGTGTCCTCAATTTTTTACATTAGAGAGCTGATACACTTTTCAGTTTAATCTGCTGTATTAATATTTTCTGCATCACTTTCCGGAGGCTGCACGAGTGGTCAGCAGACTTGCTGTAAAGAGTCACCTGGTGGATATTTGAGGTTGTGTGGGCCGGTGGTCTCTGTCGCACAATCTGACTCTGCTGTGGCGGCTTGAAAGCAGCCGCAGCTAGCACATCAGCGCATGCGCATTGCTGTGCTCTAACGCAACTTGACTTATGGGAACAGGCAGCAGGCCAGACTCGGTCTACTGGCCCCAGGTTACGAACCCCCGATCCAGACAGTCAGCACAGCAGTAAAGCGAGCCCTGCTCCCGATGAGTCTGTTTCTCGTCCCTTCCCTTCCCCCTCAGAGGTCACCACTGTTCTGAAGCTGATGTGCAGCTGTCCCATTTATGTTTTCATACTTTTATGTATTATCATAGAAGAATAGACTACACTCAGATGTTCTAGTTGTATTTAGTATGCTAGGGAAATGCCCTCCTTGTTTTGGGGGTGGTGGGGTGGTGATTCCAAGAAGCTACTACATGCATAAACTTTTTGTACCATTAACAATAATAGATAACAAGTATATACATCAGCAAAGCTGTGACATAAGAACAAGGATTAAAAGTTTAAAACAGAACGAAAGGCCAAGCCACAGACTGGGAGAGATATTTGCAAATCATGTATCTGACAAAGGACTTGTATCCAGAATCTATGAAGAACTCTTTAGACTCAGTAATGAAACAAACAACCCCATTTGTTAAAATGGGCAAAAAATTTTAACAAACACTTTACCAAAGAAGATATATGTATGGCAAACAAGCCCTTGAAAAAATGCTCAACATCATTAGCCATTAGGGAAATGTAGATTGAATCCACAATGATATACTAATGCATACCTATTGGAATGTCTAAAATTAAAAAGATTAGCCATAGCAAGTGTTGGTAAGGCTGTGAGAGACTGGGACTTGTGTGTACTCCTGGTGGAAATGTAAAATGGTATACCACTTTAGAACATGGTTTGGAAGGTTCTTAAAAAGTTAGACATATACTTACCATATGATCCAGCCATTCCACTCCGAGGCAAGCATTCTAGAGAAATGAAAGTGTGTGTCTACACAAAGACTTAAGACATGAATGTTCATAACAACTTTATTTGTAACAGCCCCAAACTGCACACAATCCAGTGTCCATCAATAAGTGAATGGATAGACAATTGTGTTACATCCATTCAATGGAATACTATTTGGCAATATAAGGAATGAACTATTGATACACTCTACAACATGGATGAATCTCAAAATAAATATGCTGAGTAAAAGAATCCAGACAAAAAAGAGTGCATACTGTATGATTCCATTTATACAGATTTCTGGGAAACGCAAGCGAATCAGTAGTTACAGAAAGCAGAGCAGCGGTTGCCCGAGGATGGGAGAACGCAATTTCTCTAGGGTCTGTACCTCTAGGGTGACTACAGAGGGCCACAAGGTAGCTTTGGGGCATGGTGGATATGTTCATTATGTTGAATATAGTGTGATGTCTCAGGTGTGAAACTGTATGGTAACACTTAGCAAATTTTGCACTTTTAAATGGGTGCAGTTCGTATATCAGTTATTTCTCAGTTTTTAGAAAGGGACTTACGTTGGTCACAACACATCTTAACTTTTAACTGAAAATTGTTGGATTTATGATCTATTTTGTGTGATGTGTGAGATAGTCTGAATGTTTAATTATGGGTATCTTTATTTCACCTTTTAGGATGTGGAGCCACCCAAAATTTCAAGCACAAAAACTATTTCCATTAAGCAAGAGCCCAAAACATCATCCAGTCTTCCTTCTGGCAGTAATAATGGCAAGGTCCTCACAACAGAGAAGGTCAAGAAGGAAGCTGAGAAGAGACCTGCGGATAAGGTAAGATTTTATGTAATCTAGGAAAAAAAGAAAATCAGTTGTTTATAGACAGAAACAGTGTTTTGTGCTTACTTCTTTTCTATAACAGTGAGTAAAAGCACGTAATAGTCACTCAGTAAATATATTTTGATAATTATAGATGTTAATTTTTTGAAAAATGAGTAAAATTTGGAAAAATTTTTTAACCATTTACTGAAGTTCTTGTCAGTGAGTATTTGAGCCCTAGGGGATGTACTAATTTCAAGTATAAACTTTAATCCATAACTCAAATGTTCTCGATGGAACAGTTATCGAGAAGAATAGCTAGAGGAAAGAGTAAAGATGTAAATGACTAAACGTGGCGTTTGTTACAGCACGGTGTGTACCCTAACAGGGCTTTTGGTAATTCTTGGATCGTCTATTTTGAATGATTTCTGCACATAGTTAATTATCAAAATTTTAGCACTTAGTGAAAAATACATTAAAAAAAACTTTGGTAACCCCTGCCCTCAGGGTGGAGTATATTAGTCCCATACGTTTACATACTTTTTTCTAAAATATTGGCTATTCCTAAACTATATTGTATTGTTTTCTGTGCTTTTAAATTTGTATAAATGGTATCATGCTGTACATATATGTATATCCTTTAGTAACTTTTTCTCCACTTATTAAAATGTGCTTTAGAAATTTACCTACGTTGATACATGTAGATCTGAATATTTCTTTCAGCTACCATATAATATTTATGAATCAACCAGGTTATCCATTCTCCTACTGATGGTTAGCTTATTTCTCCCTTTTCTCTATCATAATGGAGCTTCAGTAAGCTGCTTTATACGTATCTCTTTGTGCACATGGTGACAGTTTCTATAGAATATATAGCTGAAAGTGGATGTAATAGGATAGGTACATCTTCAGCATTATTAGGTAATACCAAATTACTATCGAAACTGGATGTACTAAATTTATGCTCTCACCAATGAAGTATAAGAATTCCAAATTTGGGACCGGCCTGGTGGTGCGAGCAGTTAAGTGCGCGTGCTCCGCTGTGGCAGCCTGGGGTTTGCCGGTTCAGATCCTGGGTGTGCACCGACGCACCACTTGTTAGGCCACGCTGTGGCGGCGTCCCACATAAAGTAGAGGAAGGTGGGCATGGATGTTAGCCCAGGGCCAATCTTCCTCAGCAAAAAGAGGAGGATTGGCATCGGATGTTAGCTCAGGGCTGGTCTTCCTCACAGGAAAAAAAAAAGAATTCCAAATTCTCCATGTCTTATCAGATTTTTTTAATTTTTGCTAATCTGACAGGTATATCTATAACATTTATATCTTAAAGAGAGGAGCCAGAATTTGCTTTGAAGCGAGTATGACAATGTGTTAAGTCTGGATGACTGGTAGATAGTTCATCATTTACTTCTTTTCAATATATTTTAAATATCAGTAGTTCATTATTAAAAATATTTAAAATAAAAATAGCCTTTAAAAATAGACTTAGTAGTGCTGTGGCTTCTCGATTCAAAGCATCTGATAGGGGATAAAAGGAGGGGAGTATAAGTAAATGCATTGAACTTCGAGAATTCTTTAATGGGTAAAAGAGTACAAAGAGAAATACAGAGACGTGCTAAACCGTTCTGACTTATTTCTTTCTACCTTGCTGGTTTCTTTTAACATACTGATGATGCATTCATTATAAATCTTCTGCAGATCTTTAGTCTGTACATCTGTCCCTAACCATATGACTGTGTGTGTCAAGTGGACCTGGTCATTTCACGTTGTCCATTTATCTGTCTCTCGGTGATTTAAAGTTTACTCTGACACGTTACTTTCTGATTGGGTGCTTTTTATAGATGAAGTCTGACATCGCTGAAGTAGTTGATCTTCCAAAGAAACCTAGACTGGAGAAGCCAGAGACACGGTCCTCTCCCATTACCGTGCAGACCAGCAAGGACTTAGCTATGGCTGACCTTTCCAGTTTTGAGGAGACGAGTGCTGACGATTTTGCTATGGAGATGGGCTTGGCCTGTGTTGTTTGTCGGTGAGTTATACCTTGCCACAGATTCTTTGTTTCTTTATAAAGAGCAAACAACTAAGGAAAAAAATCAGACCAATTGTTGGATGTTTTTATTTTGTGTTTATTATTTGGAGGAAGGGTAGGAGAGAAGTAGATTATTCCCTATGAACTGCCCATAAACATCGTAACATCTTGAAAATTGTCAAATATTTTATCTTCCTGACTGTGGCATCTTTAATCTGTTACGTTGTAACATTTTCTGCATTCTTGGGTTCTAGAGGGAAAGCAATTATTGCTTTATTCTGTAGTGAGGAAGAGTATGTTCAGCAGACTCAATTATTTCCATCTTTTTTTTTAAGAAGTCTGTTTTTTTTTCTGAATTGTTGATAGTACTTGTAAACTGTTATATATCACTTCCTAAAACACCATTAAATATTTTCCTAAGAATAATCAAAGTGAAATCAATGGTTCATGTAGGTTATTCTGAGTGTTATTTTGAAACATGGATACATAATTATAAAAACATAGGTAATTCTGCTTAGTAGAAGATGCATTTTAAAAATCAGAATAACTGGATTTTAAACTTCTTGGTGCCAGGGGCTATATTTTTAATTGTTAATGGCTTTCACTGCCTAGCACAACAGAAAAGATTACCATCTTTGTTGCTATTTTCTTGATGAAAATGTTACATTCTGGTGCATTGGGACTGAGTAAAGAACTAGAAGCTTTTGTGGACCCTATAGAGAATGAGTTAATGTACTTCTGAATAGGGTCATTTGTTAGAGCTTCATGTTTTCATATGTATTTATTTCAGCCTTTATCTACCAGGATGGTTATCATTTTTAAATAAAGAAATGGTGAAATGAGAATGTGGAGAGAACTTGTAAGTGTGGCCCTCCATCAGGAAACTAGTGATAGTCTAAGGCTGTGGGGATTGCTTTTTGTGTTACTGGAATTGATACTCTTTTGATACATGTGTTGCTTCCTTCTGTTCAGTTGGTTAGACATTTACTTATTGAACACCCTGTGTCTGCACAGTGATGTGCTGGGCGCTGTAGATGATTAGGTCCAGTTCCCACTTTTAGGCAGCTCATACATTAATGAAGAAGGTAGAACAACATGTAGGTGACAAATACAAAGGAATGTAATAGAGGGACAAAGACAATGTTATGAAACTGTTGGAGGACTAGCTGAAGTCTACTGCCGCTGGAGAAAGAAAAAGATGACAAGGAGGATATGGCCAAATTTAGTACTGAGGCACCTTATGTATTTATTAATGCTGGAGCATAAGCTTTAGAAGAAGTGAAGTGCTTGTGCAGGCTACATGCTGGGGTTTGTTATTTTTCTCTTTGGTTTTCTGGAGTTTTTACTCTCTTTAATGTATCAGACTTTACCAGAACTACCCTGAAATGGCTTTAAATTGTTGCATTCAAATAAGTGCAATATTTAATGATATCTTTTCTTAGGCAAATGACGGTGGCATCTGGTAATCAATTAGTGGAATGTCAGGAGTGCCACAATCTCTACCACCAAGATTGCCATAAGCCCCAGGTGACAGACAAGGAAGTGAACGACCCTCGCCTTGTGTGGTATTGTGCCCGATGTACTAGACAAATGAAGAGAATGGTAGGAATCATTTTTCTCTGTTTTAAACAGTCTCTGTCAATTATTTTGTTGATATGTGCTTTCCAAAATAAAAATTTGAGCTTTTAAGACAGTGAAAAAAATGTCACATAAGCTGATTATTTAAATGTCTGTATATATAGTGTATGTGTGTGATTTGTGTGTCTGCCTGAAGACCAGACTATGTTATGTGCGTTTTTCTCTGTTCAGCTTTTTGCTTATTCTGCTATAGATAAACAGGACTGGAGACCCACAGCATATGAATAATTCTTACTAGCGTGTCAGTGTAGTTATAAACCATACAGAGCACGGGGGGAAGTGGTGAGATACCAGCCCCAGGCTCTGGAGCGTCTGGTGAGGATGTTGAAACGTCTGCTCCTGAGTGAGCCTGAACCACCAGACCCACAGGCCGTGCACAGAGGCAGTGCTTCTGCGGACACCCTGCCCTTCCGTCCTGTGTCTGCCGTCAGTCCTCCCCTCTTGTCGTCCTGCAGGGACCATTCACCCCGCTCTCCCAGTGCACTTTCTCTGTCTACTGCTCACTGACGTAACTGCCTTTAGTATCATTGTGAAACATGTTTTGATTTGTTATAGTAGATAGTTTTCCAACTTTTATTCATTTAAAAAGTAGACAAATGAACTTCGTCACTTTCCTTTTAAAGAAATCCAGTTGTTATTTACTTCGGTGACTTGCTCCCCTGCCTTAGATTAGGGGCTCTTGATAGATGAGGTCCCATGTCTGGTAACCAAATGAATTCCTACGTAAGTTTTTCTGACCAAATGTGTCTTTCTAAAGTGCAAAGTACTTAGTTAAAACTGAAAAATCAAGATATCTATTTTACTTTTTAATCAATTAAGTCAGATACAGGACATGTTTTTATTCATTCCTATGAAAAGTAGTAAAATTTCAGTAGTATGTATACTTTCTGTTTGTAATAGGAAATGTCTGTGACAAGGTGCAATTTTTTCTGCTCAGTCTGATTTTTATTGAATTTATTATTTAAACTAGCCCTCTAGGACCTCAACCAAAATGATTCTGGGTGAGCAATATAGTGCATTCCAGGGCATTGACAGAAGTAGTCACTAAGAATTGGTATTAGTCAAATAAATAATTCGTGACAATAATGTCTTTCTTATTATATCTTCAAAGTTTTTTTAATTATTTCAGTGTAAGTCTCTTAATAAAGTAAGCACTGTCCCCTCTAAGTTTTTCTCCCCCATTTTTTATGACTAAGTTTACACCAAATCTATATTTATGGTTCTGACCGTCTTTCTGGAGTGAACTTTGGCAGCTGACCAGGTATCCTACAGTTACTTTAAGTTCAACAACTTTAAATTAAAATGGTTTTCTTCCCCGCTCAACTTTGTCCCCAATTGCCTGAACTAGAAAACATGATCCTTGATGCCTCTCTTAATTCCGTATCCCTTTGTTTACCAAATTTGTTAATTTGACCCTTCTGTATTTCTCAGATCTGTTCCTTTTGCTCTTATTACCCTGTTCCACAAATCCCTCATTTCTTGTCTATTGCTTTACCCTCTTAGGAGGTCTCCTTGCTTCCCTTCAATCTACTTTATGTACTGCAATTAGAATTATTCTTCTAAAATATTTATCTAACTTTATCTGCTTAAATATGCCCAATGGCTCTGAATTACTTGTATAATGAGGTTATGCTCGTTCGGGTGGGTATGTGGACCTTCTCTCTTTGACCCTAGTCTGCCTTTGTACCTTTCTCTCCCACCACTTCACCATATATGCCCATGCACCCTGGCCATGCCAGACTAAGTGTATCATTCCCTGAATATGTGGTGAACTTTCATGTTCCCATATATTCTGCTTCTCAGCTTCTCTTCCTCTGGGATACCTTTTATTCTTTATCAGCTTTGCAAATTGAATGTCTAGTTATTTGTGGCTGAGCCCATGTTTCATTCATTGGCGTAGCACCAGAGCAGAGCTCAGGACCGGATGCATCCTGCGTTGTTGTTCTCGTGTTAAGATACGTAAAATGGAGAGGATGTGGATTAGTACCAGAAGTCAGCAGTCAACATGTTCAGTCTGTGTGTCTGTGAGTCAAAGTACTGAATGAGGAAGCCCTGATTAGTGTTAGGACATGGTTAGAGTCCACCTAGAGTGGACCTGCTGAAATACCAAAGGCCATGATCTGAAGTGAGATCCTGATACGTGAAGATCAGGATCCAGCAAACACAGGTTTAATGAGAGAAAGGAATTTGGAGACAGTGGGGATGCTAAATCCAGTCATTGTAGCTATACTTGCGTTCAGTGAGGTTTTCATATGTGTGTTGGTTGTTGCTCCAGGGTATCTCAGAGATACTGTAAATAGCATCTTACATCCCCTCTCTCCTTGCAACAGTTTCTCCAACGAGGGCAGGTTATGCAGTAAACATCATTATAGAAAGACTTAGTTAAGAACGTTGTGATCATGTGTGGCCGGGTCCAAGGCCATTCTTCAGTTATAATTTTCTCTCTACCCGGTAATGAGTTTTGCCCCAGCACTAGGTAAGAGACTCGTAGGACTTATTGCAGTGGTTCTCAACCTAAGGTGGTAACACACTCCTACTCAGCAGCATTTAGAAATAGGTGGTATTTTTGATTGTTGCCAAAATGGCAGTTAATAGCCCTGAGTGGGGGAATTTCGTACATTCTGCAATGTGTGAGGCAGTCACCCAGTGAAAAATTGTAGTGCCTTTGTCAAGCAATACTGAGTCAGTGGTAATATCCTAGTTCCTTTACGGGCATTTTCTATTTGATAACATAGAAATTTGTTCTCTTTGATAACAGAGAAATTTGTGAACTTTCTCTAAGAATTCAGTGTGCCTAGTTCTGCAGTGTGGAAGAACCTCAAAAAGGTTCATTGTTTATCACTAATAGTTTTTTCTCCCTGTTCTGTGTTTAAAACCATAAATTGATCTGAACTACCTTTTAACTAACCGTCAGTTACTTAGACTTTTGCCTGAACCCCTAGAAGAAAACTCCTGTCTTGACGAACAATAGTAAGAAATAAATGCACTTCATTGTGAGTGAAGCTGATTACAAATAGTTTGCGATTTTCCTTTTTTTCTTAAATAATTTGGTTTGTCTTGTTTAAGTGTGAGTCAAAGTACTGAGTGGGGAGCCATGATTTCTAAAGCTTCATATTATCTTTACTGTTTATAGACTAATAAAGTTTATAAAACCATTAATATGATGATAAAAATGATTTCTCCAAGAGTCTATATTTTCAATGTCATCACAATATATTTTTTGTGTGTGTGTGAGGAGGATCAGCCCTGTGCTAACATCTGCCAATCCTCCTCTTTTTTTTTGATGAGGAAGACTGGCCCTGGGCTAACATCCGTGCCCATCTTCCTCCACTTTATATGGGACACCGCCACAGCATGGCCTGACAAGCAGTGCATCAGTGCACGTCCGGGATCCGAGCTGGTGAACCCCAGGCCGCCGCAGCGGAGCGTGTGCACTTAACCAGCCCCGTCATCACAATATTTTTTAAATGTTCAACTCTATTTCAATTCAATGAAGAGTCCTGTGATAGATTTTTATTGTCTTTTTTGTGCATTCAACTAAGATTTTGTAGCTAATTTAATCTTAACACTGATTTTTACAGGCTCAAAAAACTCAGAAACCACCCCAGAAACCAGCCCCCACTGTTGTTTCTGTAGCTCCAGCTGTCAAAGACCCGTTGATTAAGAAACCAGAAACTAAACTCAAACAAGAGACAACTTTTCTAGCGTTTAAGAGAACGGAAGTCAAGGTACAGTACATTCCATTTTATCTAAGATTGGATTTTAATTTAGATGACTAAATAATAGTTACTTGGAAAAAAATTAATGGGGAACTTTATATACTAAATGGCCATATGTTGGAAATGAAGGCTGCACTGCTATTAACAGTAGGTAGAAAGAAGACACTTAAGTAATTTAACATCGCCTCTGCCGTGTCTCTTTTGATCGCAATGTGGAACTGTCTGTGCGCGGTCCAAGGTGGTGTTGTTCACCACCATTCCTGCGTGGTCAGACCCTTACCTCCCTCTGGGGGTCAGCTGTGGGCCTGAGACCTCTGCCCTCAGCAGCCGCGGTTTGTCCTCACGGTGCTCTGCTGACGGCCCTGCAGCTTCTCGTCTCCCTGCTATTTGGCTGGCACAGAAGTTTTCCTGCTGCGTCCTGTTGTTTCTTTTATTGTCATGAGCTTTCACGGTACCCACCTCTGATTGTGAGGAGCCACATGGTCCAGTGAGAGTGTCACCTTTCTCATTCCTAGGCTTGCCTCCTTGAAATCACACTACCTTCTTGTTGATATCCTGGCATTTGATGTCATGAAATCTTTTTCTAATCTAATTTTATAACAAAAAAAGTGCTTTAACTGAGTTAGATGTTCCAATTTTAAGCAGAGTACCAAAGATGGAAGAAAAAAATATCAGCCCCAAATTCTCAAAGGTTGACCCCAGAAAATTCTGAAGATATTACCTTGTCCAAGTGACTGTAAGTAGCAAAGATCAAGAACCTTGTTGTGATGATAAAGAATGTGAATATAAAGTACTCTGAGAAAGATACTGATCATTTTATTTGCAGATCATTTTTTAAATTAATTTACCAGGGAAGAGTTGATGCCCAAGGAATATCCATTACTGATTTGTCATATAGAAACTGGATGAATTGGAATAGAAGTAAGAATAATTTATTGAAAGTAATTCAGGTTGCTATATTCTATATTTAAATCACTTTTAGGTAGATTTTTATACTAACCTGTTATACTGAAGTTTATTTTTAGGAAATCCAACATGGAATCTTCTAATGGCAAATAAATTAAGGCCTTGACTGTCGCGTTTGTTCTGATTAAGAGGTTTTGGTGTTTTTATGATAAAAGTGAATAAATTTTTACTGTGAAAAACATTTGTCCTTATTCATATATGAAAAGCAAATTGCTTTCTAACTGGGATAATGGGCAAGAAAAAATTCATAGTTAAAAACAGTTGAGAAATTTATTTTCCACACTGAAATAGTAAGAAATTTACTTGGCCCCCTTGTCTGTGTCGTTTCACTTTTGTGTGTCCAGATAGTATGGTGAGCTGTCTGTCATTCTGCTGAAAGGCAATACCAGTGACAGCAAGCTATTAAAGTGAGATGCTGTGCACACAGAACTTGCTTTCTCCTCTGTGCTTTGTAAGTGCGGGGCTGCTTAATGACTTCAGATAGGTTTTCTTCTGTGAAGTTTGTGGAAAGATCATTTAGCCAGGTGGCAGACAGTTTTATGTTTAATAGACAGAAAAGGAAAAAAATTAGATCTTTCATAACTGAAAATTTAAAGTTTACTACACCTGTGTCCCTTTGCTTCCTTGACTAACTTTTTCTCATTACCTGTATGCATTCCTCTAGGAATTTATAATTTATGTAAAGTTTTTCTTCTCTGGATAACCTTACCCGATGGTTATTGTATGAGGTTACTGTAAAAAGTCCTATCATTTTTCAGAGTATGTGAACAAAAATCTAGACTTCTCTTAAAAAATAAGGACCTCAGAGCTCTCTATTTTAGTCACTACATTGGTTACAAATGTTTATATGTAGACAGTATTGAAGGCTACTTTGTAAGAACTAAAAACGTTTTTATCAACTCTTTCAGAGTTCAGTTCTAAAATATAACTGGATATATTTTAGGCATGATAACTACCATATTTTTAAGTAAGATACTATTTGTAAGACTTTTTCTTTTCCCAATGTGAATTTAACACTTTTGTAAATCTTAAGAATATGAAGGTAGAAAGAGTGCCAGTGAGAAGTTCAATTCATAATTAATTTGAACAAAGCACATTTTTGCTTAATGTGAAGGTGAAAAAAATTTGTTCTTGTGGGAATAGGAGCAATATTTATTTATATAGTGGCATTGGTATAATTGTTAGCTTTTGACTGGCCAAGGAAGTTAATTAGAGAAATTGAAGTGTTATACCTTTAAGAAGTAAATCTGAGAGTGAGTCGGACCTACCCAAAATGTCACTGTGCAGCTTATGGGGCAGTTGATAACATCCTTTATACAGAAGCAGGGATCTCTTGTGTGACAGTTTTGACGGAGACATAGACGAATTATGAAAATAAGGTCATGAGACCTTTTTAATATATCAGCAGAGTTGTACAATTCCAAGTAGTCGAAGTTGCACATCTGTATATATTTTGCAGTATAGTAGCTATTTGCTTGAAATTTGGGGGGGGAATGGTTTTTTTTTTTTTTTTAAAAATTGGGTTCAGAATCTCATACATTGACTCAATAAATAATTATTGAATGAATCTCTTTATCTCAGACATCTCATAAATACCCTGAGTGCCACCACTTTTTTCCGTTAAGAGTGGATTCTATTTTTGAAATGATCCACAAGCCATTTGGAGCAAAGTCTAAAGAATTAGATGTTTTACTGAGCCAGATAATACCTTTTTGGGTAAAACAAGTTAAATCATTAAATCTGATTTTCTGATATGACTTATAATTGAATCTAAAAACAGTTCTCAAAAAGGAATTTTGTATATTTCTTTTTTGGAATCGTTAGAACAAGAATGTGGCATCCAAAAATTTTTTCTTTGGAAATGGTAGCACCCATTAGCTGTGGATAAGTTTTGTTGTATGTGTTTTTTCACATCAGTTTCATAAGAACTTAATTTTGGTGGTGTAATTTAAATTTCCCAAGTCATTACTTTTGTTTAAAAAGTCCAACAGTTAAACTTGTTATATATTTAAGAATATTATATTAGATGTTAATTATACTTGGCTCTAATGTTATATTAATCTTATTTTTTTTAGCCATCCACAGTGATTTCAGGAAATTCTTCTAGTACCAGTGTTTCCTCTTCAGTAACTAGTGGCCTAACTGGATGGGCAGCTTTTGCAGCCAAAACTACTTCTTCTGGTCCATCAACAGCAAAATTGAGTTCAACAACCCAAAACAATAGTGGGAAACCTGCTACCTCATCAGCTAACCAGAAGCCTGTGGGTTTGACTGGTCTGGCAACCTCATCCAAAGGTGGAATTGGTTCCAAAATAGGTTCCAGCAACAGCGCTGCACCAACTGTACCATTGAAACCACCACCACCTCTGACTTTGGGCAAAACTAGCCTCAGTCGCTCGGTTAGTTGTGACAATGTTAGCAAAGTAGGTCTTCCTAGTCCAAGTAGCTTAGTTCCAGGAAGCAGCAGCCAACTGAGTGGGAATGGAAATAGTGGGACATCAGGGCCTGGCGGAAGTGCCACCAGCAAAACCACCTCGGAACCAAGCAGCTCTCCCTCTGCGTCCCTTAAAGGTCCAACTTCCCAGGAGTCACAGCTCAATGCCATGAAGCGATTACAGATGGTCAAGAAGAAGGCCGCCCAGAAGAAACTCAAGAAGTAATGTGGCCAAGCAGGTTTTTATATCATGTTACCCTAAAGATTAAAATCTTATTATTAGGACATAAACTGTCATACACTATAATTTAATAAAAATCTTCATAACGAAATTTCTATTATTTCTTACCTTAAAATACTAAATGTTATTTGACAGAACTTGGAAATCTTTGGTATTTTAAATCTGTTTAATGTTTTTATTTTAACAATTCCCATACTGTGAGTGAAAACAATGATTAGAATGACTAATTCTTTTTTTTGGTGAGGAATATCAGCCCTAAGTTAACATCTGCTGCCAATCCTCCTCTTTTTGCTGAGGAAGACTGGCCCTGAGCTAACACCTGTGCCCATCTTCCTCTATTTTATACGTGGGGCGCCTGCCACAGCATGGCTTAATGAGCGGTACGTAGGTCTGGGCCCAGGATCCGAACCTGTGAACCCTGGGCTGCTGAAGCGGAGCACTCAAACTTAACCACTACATCACTGGGCCGGCCGCTAGAATGACTAATTCTTGATGAGAACTTCCGGAATCCCAGAAGACTGGTAGCATATATGAATTTAAAAAAAAGGAGTAGTTCCTCTTTTAGCAAAGCCCTAGGATTGATCCTGCTGAATAAGGTGCCTTACAAGGTGGCAGGATGACCCAGTACAAAGTTTTCTACTTTCCCTCCAATATTCTGGATATTCAATGTCCATTCCCAGCTTCATTTCAATTGATTCTCCCTCTCCACCCAAATAGTTCATCTCCCCTTTTTCAAAATTAATTTTTCATAATTGATTTCTCATACCCCTGTATTATGTCTTTACCTTTTTCACCACCTGTATCAATTATTTAGGGATTTATCTCTTCAAATAGATTGTGAACGCCTGCACCCTTTTAATGCAACACTTGTCTCACATTGCCAGTGTAACATATGCACATAGTATATACTTAATAAATGTTGAATTGTGATTTATCCTGGTTACACACATTCCTGAGAATTCTTGAGAAAAACACCCATTCCAAGAGTCTTCATGGATAGATAATTTCTGACTTGTTTACATACTGATAGCTTCTTCCTAAACCATGAAAAAGAGTGCTGTTTTATTTTTATTACCCAAAAACGTTATGGCATTTTACCTAATTTTAGTTAACTTTGTATAAAAGAAGCTCCTACATAATGATTAATTCTTGAGATTGTTTTGAAGTATGTGTGTGTACAGAGTGTGAAGGGTCTGAGTTGTTGCCTTATTTGCAAGCCAACAAATTAGCCTGCCGTTGTTTTACATGTATATTCTGAGGAAGACACAAGGCTTTCTGGATCAGAGGAATGGTGTCTTTCTCACAGAAAACGCGGCGGCCGTTTTGTACGTTGTGAATACCTCATTTCATCCAGAAACTGCAAATCCAGTGGATTCCCAGACTTAATAGACTGAGCAGCCTTGTTCCTTCAGTTTTAATGTGAGTCACTGAATCTTCACTGTAACCTCTAAGCTCAGGGGCTTCCCTTACTTCCCTAGATTTCTCTAACATTGTTATTCTAAAATGTGCTGGTAAATGATTTCTGTGAAGATAAAGCTTTTTAAATTAAACTTGACCTTTTTCTAAGGAGAAATATTTGGCACTAAATTATTTATGGTAAATTAGAATTCAAGATGATCTCAGTTATTATCTCCCATTACTTACAAAGTGGAGTAAACATGTATTTACATGTTTAAAATCTGTTTTCTTAAAACAGAAACATCTGTTGATTAAACATCAATTTGGCATCAACCCCAAATCTCCTTTAGGGTCAAAAAACCAAAAAAAAGTCCATCGTTTTTGTTTACAGTTCAGGGCCAGTTTGGACTAAACTGGACAGAATGACCTGACACAGGCTCAGCTCTGCAGCTCCCACAGTTCATGTAGCCTCAGTACCTACAAGAGAGTAAAGGGGTGGTGCACACAGCATGCACACTGGCACTGGAAACGGAAATTGTTATCCCGTCGTAGTCAACACATGTGCTGGATAGAGTTGAGAAGAGAAGCAAGTATTTTAATTTCTATGGTACACTTGAGGGAGAACTTGAGAAGACTTGTTTAGGGAGTAATTTTTCATTGAGCATGGCTCTTTTTATAGGTTATATGTACATATGAATATATATTTAGAATCTGCACATATGTATAAGCATGCATACATCTAACAATGTATAAAACTCGGTTTGCTCTTTTCTAGAGGTGTATGTGGTGTATGTATTAGAGTTTAGTTGTCTTCGGGGAGCTCTTAGACCTGGGTTTGCATTCATTAAACAAGCTAAGAGGCTTCGTAACTGCATGTGTGAGGAAAGAGGCCAGCATTACACTGGTCGTGTTTGTCGTCTGATTCACTTTGTTCTGTGTAGCTTGTTTTTCCCGTAGAATTTAAGCTGTATGAGGGCAGTCTTGCGTCCTGCACACCCTGGTGTTCCCGCTGCAGCTCACAGTAAATATATGTCAGCTCAGTGAAGGAATATACAGATAAGTAGGTGAGCCGACAGGTATGCTTCTAGGATTGTAAGTTCCAATCCCATTTTAGTAGCAATTTGGTCAGTGTCACTTTTCTGTTTTGCATATTGTGCTTTCTGTTAGATTGTTAATCGTAGATTTTAATGACTTTCAAAAAAAAAAGGAAAACACTGAAAGAACACTAGCTTAAAGTCAGAAAACCTAGTTTTGAATCCCAGCCCCTCTGCGCATTAGCTGTGTGAGCCTCGGTTTCCTCCTCTTTAAAATGTTGGTGCCTTCGAGCCTATCCCGACTCCTAGTCACCAACCTGTGCACAGCAGAGCAGAGCCCTGCCAGGTCTCTCTGCACCTTCCTCTCACCTTCGGCGCTGTATCAGACAATGCTCTGCTGCTATGCATTGGGTTTTCATGGCCAGTTTTTTCGGAAGTGAGTGGCCAGTTCTCCTTCCTAGTCTGTCTAGTCTGGAAGCTCCGCTGAAACCTGTGCACCATGGGTGACCCTGCTGGTACCTGAAATCCTGGTGGCACAGCTTTCAGCGTCACAGCAACAGGCAGCCACCACTGTATGACAACCGACAGACGGGTGCTGTGGTTCCCTGACCAGGAAATGAACCTGGGCCTTGGTGATGAGAACGCCGAATCTTAACCGCTAGACCACCAGGGCTGGCTCTATAAAACGCAGATGATAATGAGGTAAAATGGAAGGCATCTCATATTCAAATGTTAGGTGATGCTGACTCTTAACATGGATCTGGTAGTACTGTGTATTGGTAACTGAGATTATAAATTTTATTGGAATAACCATAGGTTATATAGGAAATACATCATTTTACAGAAATAATTTTTTTTTTTGCTGAGAAAGATTGGCCCTGAGCTAACATCTGTGCCAGTCTTCCTCTATTTTGTATGTGGGACACGGCCATAGCATGGCTGGTGAGTGGAGTAGGTCTATGCTCAGGATCTGAACCTGCAAACCCAGACTGCTGAAGCAGAGCACACAGAACTTGAACCACTTGGCCACGGGGCCAGGTCCCAAATAAATTTTTATTAATGCAATAATTATAAAAATTATATAAGCAATTAGAGAAAGCCATAAATACATTTACATACTATAGTATTGTTTTTTAAAGTAAGATAAGCTTTATTTAATTTACTAAGACTACATCCTCTAGATTTTGAACAAGAACATCGCATTCCAGTATATGCTAGAGTGTGACTTGTTTTCCCTAAAAACTAAAGCAAATGTTGCCTGTATCTAGAGAGTAATATGATAGCAGCAGCTAGCCCACAGAGGCTCAGCTTGAACTCTAGGAGCCCTAGAGTGAAGATTTGTTATATTGGAATAATCTTGTACATCACAGAGAATTTAATGACTTGAGTTTTTTTTTTTTTTTTTTTTGGTGAGCAAGATTGGCCCTGGGCTCACATACATGTCCATCTTCCTCTACTTTATATGTGGGTTGTCTGCCACAGCATGGCTTGGTAAGCAGTGTGTAGGTCCACGCCTGGGATCTGAACCTGCGAACTCCAGTCTGCCAAAGTGGAGGGCACAAACTTAACCACTATGCCACCGGGCTGGCCCCGATGACTGAGTTTTTATATATATTTAGTGTGTATAGGAAGAGGGAGGTAACTGAAAAAATTGGATTTTAAAAATAGTAACATTCTATAAATAGTAATATATCCCTGGAGAGTATAAAGTCTAGTGTCCTTCCAGTCAATGAAATTTAATTTCTTCCTCAACAACTATCAAGTACACTTACATGTTTTTAGCTCAGATTTTGTGAGGGGTAGGTGTATACACTATTGAGCAGTGCATTGTGTATCGTAAGAAGCCATAGTCATGACAGACATGATTTAAATAAAGCGATTTTCTTGCCATCTTAGAATATAAAGATTTCTTCTCTTTATTCACATGGTTTTGAGAGGATTTTTGCAATAGACAAAAATCCAAGAAGCTTATGAGAAAAGTGAACAGTTTTTAATTCCACGTTTCAGTTGTGAAAACACTAATTTTTGTAAATCATCTAAATTATTCATCACAAATAGTGGCAAGCACTTAATGGCCATCTCTAAAAGTCCAAATTACATTTTAGGCAAAATATGGAATATATCAGCACTTAAAGTATTTCATGCAATGCTGCATTTGTATGACTAACAATGTGCATTCTGTCTCTTCTGCACAACTCAACCTTCATAGAATTGTTTTATAGCAGTGAATATGAAAGAGGATATTTTTCTGAAATGTAAGGAATGTTCAACTAGTGGCTTTGTGACTTTTTCACATGATTTAAGCACCCACGGTAATTTTGTATTATTGGATTTTTTATAATTTCTAAACTTTATTATGTATAATATTAGTTTAGAGCATCTGTATTTAAAAATAAATACTGCAGCTGACTGCAGCTAAATAAAATGTATAAACATGTTTATTTGCTTTACAAAGAAAAACAGCCACAAAAATTTTCTCTTCATTGTTGGTAGAAATACCTATTTCAGAGAATTCTATACTGTACAATAACATTTAATTTTAAAAATATAAAGAAATAATTACATTAGCATGCCTCATTTTAATTATAGTGATATCACCAACAGTTTTAGCTTTTTAAACTTGAAGATTTATACACATCATAACTATCTTGGGA